ACATGGACAGCGCTCTGCCCCTAACCTGTGCGCCCCACCGAGCTGTGGGATCCACCGGGCTCTGTGTCCACTCGGTTTCTTTCTTAGACTTCCTGTATCTTTTCTTCTTATCTCTCTGTTCTTGCTTTCCTTTTCCAGTCTCTCTCACTGCTTCAGTATCCACTGACTTTCAATCTTAAAATATCCCCTGAAGTGGTGGTATTTCTTCCCGTCTGTCGCTTGTCATTTACCCACGCAGTCATTCAAAAACTCAGGGGCACAGACCCAGGCTCTGCCGCCGGTTCCAAATACACGGTGTAGCCAAGGTGCTCCAGAAAGTGATGCATGTCCAGCACTTATTAATGAAATAACCACTCTCCCGCCCTCCCGCACACAGCACCTCATTAGCAGGGCTCATTTTTAAGGGTGATCCTATGAGCGCACTTGGTGGGAGGCGGTCCTTTCTGATCTCCTGCCCCCTGGCCCTGGAACACACAGCTGTGCCCAGGCCCGTGTCCTGAACCACCAGCGGGCTTCGTTCTCTGCTTCAACCCATTTTGCCCACTGACTGCTCGAGTCCTGCGACCCGACTCCCACCATGATGCTAGAGTGGCTGGACGCGGGCTCCCCTGGTTCCGTTCCGGACCCGGACGCGGGCTCACCTGGTCACTCGCGGACTCGGGCGCACGCTCACCTGGATCCCGCTAGCACTCGGGCACGGGCTCACCTGGGAACCCGACGAGGGTTTGCCTCTCCTGCCTGCGCCGCTGGGGCTGCTTTGGAGGCGGCTCTGAGCTGCTGCAGTCCTGAGTGTGGGGCTGAGAGGTCAGCTGGGAGTTCCGGCCAAGTTACCCGTGTGCCTCGAAAGGGACGGCCTCTGGGAATAGGTAGACTCCGTTTCGCGGGGTCTCTGCGGTCCGAGTGACCCCTCTAGGCCAGTTCCCTCCGTGCACCGACCGAGATGTACCCGGCGCTCTCGCCTTCTTTCCTTGGGTTAAGGAATTCGCGGTGATGCGCTGGGACCCGTCGGAAACAGAACGTTTTCCCCCTGCTGGTGACTCTCAGGAACTGCATGTGGTGGAACAAACCTATAACAGGTTTCCTTCCTTCCTAGCAGCTAGGGTTGTGGTTCTTCCCCCACCCACCACATCAAACGTTTTGACAACTTTCCTTTTTATTCATTTTACTTTTTAAACTGCCATGTCAAGAGAAGGAAACTAATTTTCAGCCTGCGGATTAATGAGATGAGAAAAATTAAGACATGCATACAACCATTTCCCCCTCATTCTTCTGTTTAAAATTATGGAAAATTGCAAATATATAAGTAGGCAGAAGAATATAATGAGGTTCTAGTTTTTGGAAATGGTGGACTAACCTTCCTTTGGATAATAATTTAAAAATCTGAGCAAGCCCTAGCTGGTTTGGCTCAGTAGATAGAGCACCGGCCTGCGGACTGGTCCTGGGTTCGATTCCAGTCAAGGGCACATGCAATTTGACCCAGCAATTTCACTCCTAGGTATATATCCAAAAGAAAAGAAAAGAAGTACTCAAACAAATACATGTTTGTGTTCATAGCAGCACTATTCACAATAGCCAATAGGTAGAAACAATCAAATGTCCATCAACAAATGAATGGATAAACAACGCGTTATATACAATGTAATATTATTCAGCCATAAGAAGGACTGAAGTTCTAATATATGCTACAAGCCGAAGAACTTCAAAGATATTACAGTAAGTAGAAGAGGCCAGATACAAAAGATCACAAGTATGATTCCACGATATGAAATGTGCATGGTAGGTAAATCCACAGAGACAAAGCCGACTAGTGGTTGCCAGGGGCTGGGAAAGGGGAGAATGGGAGCAACAGCTAAACGGGGCTGGGGCTTCCTTTCAAGGCGATAGAAGTTTCCGCACTAGATAACGTTGGTATTTGCGAAACGTTGTAAATGTACTAAACGCCACCAAATTTTCACCTTACAATGGTTAACTTCATGTTGGGTTAATTTCACTTCAATTAAAAGCAGAAAAAGAAAACAAAACAGCTCTCTCGTGTAGGTGCCTAAAGTCGGCTGGACTGGAGGTCCCCTTGCGTCCCTGCATCCACCTGCCTCGGCCCGGCTCGCGAATTAGAGGGCGACGAGGGCTGAGGAAATGACAACTGGGGCATCAGAAAGGGACTGTCGGGAGGGAAAGGCAGAGGGACCCTGGGACTCTGCTCCTTACATCGCTACCACTGCCGGGTGAGGCGGCTCCGCGCAGGCTCCGGTCCGCTGAGAATCCTCGCTGGGCCCCGAGCGGGGAAGGGGCA